TGTTAGGCAACATGTGGGAAAAACAATCACTGTTAGCCTGCAATCAATGACTACAAAATTAAGAAAGCAATTCTAACTGGTTACTTATTTTCTTGCAGACTCTAAACATCCAGCTCTTTTTGTAAAGGAATTTTTATGTAAGGACAAATACTAGGGTTGAGCCCATTTTTCTGATTTGTGGGGGGAGTAGGGGGGGTAGGAGGGGGACCCTCTCAGAGGACTGATAGGCTTCCTGAGGCTGTGTTTGCCAAAGTATGGAAGTAGTAGGGGGATTGATTTTTAGGGGCTTTTGATGTGCTAAAGGGCTTCATGCAGCTGGGGGTAAAGTGTGTGCCATATTTTTTTACTTTTTGCAAGGTGCATCTTGCTGGACTAGTTTCCGAAGAAACATACTTGGTGGTATATTTGTTTAAGAAACTCTAGCAAATTTATATATCCTTTCTGCACTCACATAAAACTAAGATTTTTAGAAACCCATTGTCTTACTTGAATTTGACACCTTGTAGACCGTCATTGTATAAAGAAGGGCTGTGATTTTTCAAGCAGATTTTCATCTTATCTTGTTTTTCACTCTTTAACATTTTTATCTCTTGCCTGTAACTTTGGGAAGACTGTGTCAGGACTTACATAGTTAATAAAAGCAAACTAAAGCAAATAATCACCTTTAGTACTTCTTTCAGCATATTCTAATTTTTTAATGGAGAAAATGCATTCTTAAATTAAATATGCATAATAAGGAATACTAATAATAAGAATAAAGTGGAATATGTGAGAATGAATCCAGTGTTGTAAGCAAAATGCATTTGATTTGCTAAGGATAAAAGCTGGCTTGAATCAGGAAGAATCAGTGCAAAAGAGAAAAGCCTCATAATGTTCATAAATTGTCCATAATTGTATGGATTTTAAATATAAAAGTTGGCAGTGGCAAAAGCTAAAAGCCATTAGGAGAGATACTATTGTACAATGCACTAGGAACAGCAAGTCACAATCTTATGAAAAAAAACCCTAGCTAGAGTTTTCTAAAATTTTGATAACCATACTTGAGACTTGTCTTGATGTTTACTACAATGTGTGCATTGTTCAGCACGGCATGGCCTAATGCATATATGATTCATATTTGAAAAGAGCTACTAATTAACATGAATAGTCTTCTTCCGTGAAGGTCGTTTATTGCAAAGTTCTTTTTTTTCCCCCTAGCTGAATATCACTAAAGGAGCCCTCAACAACAGCCATTAGTTTGAGAGACTAGTCTGTTTTCTCCCTGACATTGGGTCATACTTTTAAAGAATCTTTTTCTTATGCCAAGAAGCCATAAAAAAATAATATTTAAAGACAAGAGAGAGAGGAGAGGAGAAAACAGAAGAGGCGAGAAGAGGAGGGAAGAAGGGAAGGAAAATCATCTTTCTCTTACCAAGAAATACATTCCACCCCTAATCTATTCATTAAGCTTTATTCTATCATCAACTTCTTGTTACAGGATTTAAGAATTATTTTGCTGACATCATTAAATTTTATTTCCAATGCTATTTTCTTTGAAAACTGTGTTGGCCAGTACTTTCCTAGAATTCATTGAGATGGTCCCTGGAATGTTTCCCAGATATGTAAAATGCACGTTGAGACTTTGTTCTACTTTTCTGCACTGAAAAACTTTCAGAACCTTCCACTGTTTCCAGTTGGGGTCCGGTAGGTTTTTTGGCTTAGATATGTCAAGAAACTTAGCAAGGATGAAGGGCCTTCTAAGGTTTGTGGGAAAACAATATTGCCATGTGCTAAAAACGTCCCTTAGCTAAAAACACCTTCAGTAAGAGCTTTGTCCCCATTTGTAATGGTTGATTTTTGTGTGTCAACTTGGCTAGGCTGGGGTGCCCAGTAGTTTGGTCAAACACCAATCTAGATGATTCTGTGAAGGTTTTTTTTTTTTTTTTAGATATGATTAACATTTACAGCAGTAGACTTTGAGCAAAGCAGATCAGCTTCTGTAATGTGGGTGGGTTCATTAAATCAGTTGATGGTCTTAACCTTAACAAAGACTTGGGTTTTCCCAAAGAAAATGAAATTCTGCCTAAAGGCGGCAATGTGGAAACCCTGCCTAACTTTCCAGTGTGCAGAGTTCAGACTCAAGATGGCAACACCAACTCTCCCCTGAGTTTCCAGCCTGCTGGAATATTCCACAGAACCACTAGCCCCCAAAAACAGGTGAACCAGTTCCTTAAAATCAATGGATCAGCCCTGTATCTCCATTCTTTGGTTCGGTTTATCTGGAGAACCCTGACTAATGTAATATACTACATACATCATTTAGGCATAACTAGTAGTAAGCGCCTGGTGCAAGCGATACTCTTTTAGCCACTTGCCTCTAACATGGAACCGGATTTGGGGCCCAGTTTGCATGATGGGACAAAACAATGAAAGAGTGGATCACTTTTGTTATTTTGCCTGTTTGATACCAGATAATCTATTTGATAAACACATGCATTATTTTGACTGCTTAGTCTGGTTTGGAAACGCCCCCAAGAATCTGTCAATTGCAAACGTGTTTCGTGTCTGAAGACCACGGAGTGTTGTGTGGCTATTATTGGAATCGACTGAATCAGCCCAGGGAGGCTTGGCTTTAGGAGATATCAGGCAGAAGTTCTCATGCTGGATTTGTAATGTATGCCTTTTTATATTATTTTAAGTATTTTACAAGTCAAGATAAAATAAAAGACAATGAATAGTCCCTTCATTCTGAACCCCTGGCCCCAAATATCTCTCGCACTGCCAGTGAGCCATTGAAAGGGACACACAAATGGCAGGTGGAGGGGAGGCAGATCCTTTGCTGACACCTTTCCTGTCTTCCCAATACCCTCAGTAAGGGAGTCAGTCTACCAAGTCATATATGCATTGATGGTTTGTCACGTGTGAGGCAGCCTGGCTGTGTTTTGTACTCATCCGCTATGGGATATTCCCCTGGAGACCACGACATCGCAGGGGGTGTTGTCTATAACCTCAGGCAGAATGTGGCATGTGCTAAACACAAGCCTCTATGAGACTGCAAGGAAGAGAACGGTCACATCCAGCCCGATGACCAGGAGCCCTCCTGAGAACGGAGCCCTTGAGTCAGGCATGAGAGGGAGGCAGGTTTTGGCGACCGATGGCATGAGGAGAGGATTTCCAGAGGAGAGACTGGCATGAGCAAAGCAGTGGGGGAAGAACATGAAGATAAAAGTGATCAGGAAACACAGGCTGGCCTAGGCTGTCTGCAGCTCACTGTAAATACAGCAGTAATTGCGGTAAGGAGGGTAGACTGAGGCCAGAAAACAGGGGGACTGAAATTCCAAAGGATGTGATTTGGAAGGGCATTGGTGAGTCATTGAAAACTTCTGCCCAGGGAGTTTATTTTATAAACTTCCCTTGCCTGCTACTGAACACACTGCCTCAAACATCTTTGCTGGAAAAGTCTGATTTTACCATTAAGAAACTGATTCCTTAAAAACTAGGCCATTCATTCCCTCTCCAAGTGGAATCTCGCCCCTGTGCAGAAACATGTCTATGGGCGATAAACTTGACCAGGGATGGGAAGACGGTGGGGGATGGTGAGAAGAAGTGGAGAGGCTCAGAATGAAGGAGTTTTCTCAAATGAGTAGTAACAAGGATGTTGCAGTGTGTTTTCCTGTTTGGGAGGTTTAATTCTTCACGGTTTGCTTGGCTGTCAGAACGCTTCACGTTTTTATTTGTGAACATACATGGTGATCATCCTTAAGACAAAAAAAAATCTGATGGCGGGTCCCTTGATGCTCTTGTTCAGAGCAGATGTTGCAATCAGAGCCGGGCTTTCAATTCTCACCTCTGAGATGTTGTAAATTACATTAAGAAGCAGCTCCTCCGCTCCTCGTGTTTCACGTACAACTTGTTATGGTAATGTCGGAGGAGGGAAGTTGAAATAGACAAACTTAACTGATTTGTAGATCACCAAGACAGAGCCATCATCTTTATGGATGCAGTCACCCACAGCTCATGTGACAATCACAACAGACAAATTCAACTCAACAGGGGAATCAAAAACAGAGAAATATACACACTCAGATCGCCACCATGGAACGGCTTTGTGGAGCTACCATGCTCAGAACAATTTAAGCATTCCTTTTCACGTTGGGAGACCATAAAGGAGTGATAACAGCAGAGAGAGACAGCCCAAAGACTATCTTCATGTAGAAAACAGTAGGGCTCATAGGATTGTGAATTCTGAGCTGGGAAAAGAAGTTTTGTCTTAGTGGGAAAAGAAACTCTCTTGTTTCACTTAGCATCATGGTGAGATCTCCTCTCCAGCATCCCTGACATGGGGCCATCTCACCTCTCCTTGACCTCTTCCCCAGGCTGAAGTTCGTACATTCCAACTTGTTGTTTGGGCTTTGTTGGACATAACCTAAGTCTGGATGGCAGGGTGAAAATTGGATAAACAGCCACGCTGACTCCAGGGAGATTTTTTTATGCAAACATCTGTTTCTTGAATTTGGCCATGGTAAGACCTAGGGGAAGGGGGAAAACCAATTGATGAAGTTAGATCAAGAGGATACAGCCTCATTCTTTTTTTTTTCTGTTTTAGGAGTATAAAACATGTCTTCCTGCAGCATTATAGAAGGAGGAAACCCTTTCCAAGTTTCCACGGATAGTGGGTTTATGCCCAATCCTAGTTTAGGTGAGATCATGTGGATGCTTTTTCTGGTACTTTGCTGCACTATAGATATAACCTGTTTTGAAACAAACTCCATATACGCATATAAAAATGGAAACTCACAGTAAAGATGAGTAGAGCAATGCACAAGTAAGCACTTACTACATGCCCAGTACTGAACAATATACTAAAGTGTGTGAAGACGTGTAGAAGAATGAATCTTTGCACTTATGAAGCTGAAAGTTTTGATAAGAAGATTGAGAAGTGATAAGGAAGGATAAAAGGCAACTTACGATTTGGTATTAAATTGCAAGGTGCTGATATTAATAATTGTTATTTGTAACAGGAGAAGACAGGATGGAGCACGGAAGCTAAAGAAGACTTCAGAAAGGAAGTTTGAATGATGCAGGATCTAAGGTGCTAGGAAGCTCGGAGCTGGCAGAACCTAGGTGAGAAGCATTTCTAGTGGGGGAAAGTGCATGGGCTGCCAGTGAGTTACTTAGTCAATTTATTGTCCACTTGCTATTGTCCACTGTTAATTGCGTGGGGGTACCTTTATCCCTATTTGCCAGTAGGGAGATGAAACTTGGTCATACCACTTACTGTGTTCCAGGAACTGTTCTAGGCTCTTTATATATTTTAAGTTATCTAAACCTCACAATAGCCCTACCAGGTAGGGACTATTCTTATGAAGCACAGAGAAGTTAAGTAACTAGCGTAAGGTCACAAAGGCAATAAGTAGCCAACCTGGGATGAAAGCCAGGCTCCCTTAGTTCCAAAGCCCATACTCTATGATAATGAATGTCCGAGAAGACTGGAAGTGTGGTGAGCACAATGACATTGACCTTGCAGGAGGACTGAGGTTTCAAAGTGGGGGAGGGTGTGCATGTAAGAGATGAGGAGAGGTGGATGGGCATTATTCTCATTCTCAAACAATTTTTTTTGTTTTTAATGTGTGACAGCCCATAATGAATTTAAAGGGCAAGTCTACACACCAAAATTCAGGGTATGCAAACCATTTCAAGACATCACTATTACATAAAATACGCCTCAAATCCTTTCAGGACCGAACCACATTCATCAGAATGTTGGTCTAAGACTTCCAACAATCCTAGCCTTCCCCCAGGGCCAGGGCCACTCAGAAGAGAGACGCAAAAGCAGATAGATGCCCCTTCACTTCTGTGCATCATCCTCTTGTGGAGTTTCTGTTATTATTAATAATTTTTTTGAGACAGAGTCTCACTCTGTTTCCTGGGCTAGAGTGCCATGGCGTCAGCCTAGCTCACAGCAACCTCCAACTCCTGGGCTCAGCCTCCCAAGTAGCTGGGACTACAGGCACATGCCACCATACCTGGCTAATTTATATATATATATATATATACATTTAGTTGTCCAGCTAATTTCTTTCTATTTTTTCTTTTAGTAGAGACAGGGTCTCGCTCTTGCTCAAGCTGGTCTCGAACTCCTGAGCTCAAACAATCTGCCTGCCTCAGCCTCCCAGAGTATTAATAATTTTAAAACATCCTATAGTTCTCTGATTTTACCTCCTACACAGGCTTTGATTCCTGGCACTCAGTTAAGATATAGGATTACATGGGCCCTCTCTTGGTAGAACAACCAACCAACCTAATTGGAAAATTTATATGATATCAAGTTGGTACTCAGAACAGGCCATATGGGATGAGAGAGAGAGTGATGTAGTCACAGAGGATTCAGGCTAGATTTTCTCTTACAGACACCATATTGCTAAAATACCATCATAAATGATTACTTTATTTCAATTACTTTCTGTAATAAAGCCAACAAATCTTCTGCTTAAAAGGGCATTTGATTCAGTGGTTGTAAACATAGAGTTTTAACAGAAGAATTAATTTTTCTCAAATAAATCCTTGCTTAGAATCTCAATATATAAGATGAAAGATGAGTGAGTCTGAGGAAATTTGGTTCCAATAAGGGGGGATTTCTCCTACCAGCTTAGCCTTTGCTTGTTCCTCCGTACCAGCCCCTGGGGCATTACCGCAGAATCTTCAGGCTTGAGAACTTAATATGAAATCTTGCCTGCATCTCAGTTAAGATGCAAGTAACAAAATTTCTTACTCACCAATGGCATAAACAAATACAATTTCATTTTTCTCATGAAAATACAAGTCTGAAGGCAGTGGGCTGCCAGTGTGGGTTTAGTGGTTGAGATCTCAGAGCCAACGTCTTTGTGATTTTCTTGCTGTTTGCCTCATGATGTAAAGAAGGCTGCTTCGGCTCCAGACATCACATTTTTGCTCACATCAAGAAGATGAGAGGGCAGTGCCTGCCATATCTGTCTCCCCAAATCAAGAAAATAAAGGCTTTCTTGAAAACTTTCAGTTGACTTCTGCATAGGTCTTGTTGGTCTGAAATATATCACATGGTCACTCAAGCTCAAAGGATTCTGGGGAAACAAATATTTAGTTAGTCATATTGCCAAGCCAAAGAATACTGGGGTTCTGTTTTCCAGGAAGAATGTAGGCATGGCTATTGAATAGGTCACTAACAGTGGCCTGATTGTTCTTTTTATGCACTTCATCAAGGAACACATATTTTAAAGTTTTCATGATAGAACTTGCACACAAAATTAATTTATACTAGGAAACTAATGACTTTCCTTTTGAAGGTATCAAGCGCATATATGGGTTCCTGCAGGTTGTTGTAGAAAGGATGCCAAAAAGAGACAAAAGTGTGAAGAAAATGATCGCAAAACAGGAAAGATAAATTGCTAGCCATTCACAGGGTTCTCCATGCAGTTTTGATTGAGTGCACATAATTCATCGAGTAGGATATCAGATTTTCTGGAACAATGAGCCTACATCTTAAGAAATAGTATTTTATCTTCAGCATAAGCAGGGTAGCTTGTTCAACCAAATGTATTCACCTGATTATCCAGAGAACCGATTTGTTGAAGCAAAACTGAAATTAACTGATGCATGATAGGATAGAGGTAAAAGTTAACTTAGTAAAATGTGTCCCCGAGCACACAGCAGTAAAGATAAAAACCAATCCAGGGTGCCTGCTCTACCAATGCCTTTTTGCTACAAAGTAAATTCTGCTCCCTCTTGTTTCTTGAAGGGACAGTCAGGGGACAGTTCATCACGCCTGTCTTTGGGTAGAGTCAGCAAACATTTTCAGTGGAAAGCATCAACGAGCAGGGACCTGTGCTGAAAGACAGAACAAAAAGAAATTATTAATCATGTTTCCCTTTGTATATTTACTGTTTTGCTTCTGAAGAGGGTACTAGTCTACTAAGAGATGCATAATTAGGAAATATGCCAGATGGGTAATCAATGTGATTTTAAATTTTTATAGCAAGAACAGAATTGTAGCTTGGATTTCTTTTTTTTTGGAAGGTACTTTAGTTCCATGCAGTTAAAAACAAGTATCTTGCCTTGGAGGATTACTGTCTTCTGTGCAATGAGATTGAATATGTTCTTTAATCCCCCTTCTATTTAAAAAAAAAACAAAAACTGGGCTGTTGGAACAGAAGAGCTGAATGGGCCTACCAGGTGGAAGAGAAAAGCCAACCACAGCAGAGGTGGGACCTGGGACCCCCTAGGAGGCACTGTGGGGGGGGGGAGCTTTAGTTAATCATACTCAGCATTAGAAAAAACAAACCGACCCTAAGTTCCACTTCTCATCCCTGATTTCCCAACCGGTTGAGGTGAGGGTTGAGATTTAATTGTTCTCTCCATTCTCAGGCTAGAAGGAAACCTAAAGAAAGCACTTTCTGCACTTATATTTAAGCCAAGTGGGTGAAATATTCAGCCCAAGGGGCTGCTGGCTGAGGTCACTTTAGAGGGAGGAAGAAAGAGACAGGGCCTGAGGGCAGAGGTTTCTAAACTGTGGGTCCTGACATATTAGTGAGCTATGAGATCAATTAAGAGGGTTCTGACCATGTATAATTTCTTAGCCAAATAGAGTTGCATAGAGTGGAATAAAATAGAATCAAAAATATAAATGTGAGTGTCATGCAGCAAGAATAAATATTATTGTAAACCTTTCATTTCAATAATATATATATCCCTATATAAGCCATACTTATTTACATGGTCACAGTGGTATAGGGTTATGTGCGAGAGGACAGTTACTCTTTAGCTTATAATATCCAGTGGAGTTGATGTGGGCAGGGGTGAGATGGAAGAGGGGGAGGAAGAGGAAGGAGACGTAGAGTCTACAGGCTCTTCCTGTGCCTGCTAATATACATCATGGCTCATAACACATTTAACTGTGGGTATGTGTATCTTCATTATTTTCACATATTCCTCCACAGGAAGTTTAGAACATTTTTGCTAAGTTCTTCATTCAAAAACACCATTTGGAATTTGGGTTGCATTACATTTATAAAATAATTTGGGGAGAATTGATATTTTTTACTTAGTTGAATTTGCCCATCCAAATGTGTGCCTATACTCATTCTTGTCTTTTTTTATAAAACCTTTCCATTTTTTAGTTTCTTGTTAAGATGACTCCTGTGTGCTTGGCATGTTTTGGTCCTATTGTGCTATCCTTTTTTTTTTTTTTTTCCTGTGTTGACATCTTTTTCTCCAGATATACTAAGCTCTCAGGCTCAATGAGCTTGTGGTCCTCTTCCATGCCATCCTGCCTCTGCTCATGCTGTTCCACTGTGCAGAAAGCCTTTCCCTGCATTTCTTGAGGGATGTCTGTGCAGGTGCTACTACTGCTCAGCTGTCCTTCCAGGCAAAGTTGTCTCTGAACCCCAGTATGACTTCCCCAGCAGCCTCCTACCTGATTGCTCTCTTCCTCCTCTTACCTGCCCACCATGCCCTACGTAGTCATTGGGGCCATCTTTAAAAACATAAAGCAGATGATGTCACTTCCCTCTTGAAGACATCTAACAGCTTCTATTACCTTTCAAAACTCCAAACATGTTCAAGACCCAAAAGGCTGCCCGTGATCTGGCTCCTGCCCACCTCTGTGACCTCCTTTCCCAAACTTTCCTAGCCATTCGTGAGACCTCAGCCACACGGGCTTTGCCCTGGCCCCTCTGCATTCCAAGCGTGTCCTGCCCTGGGCACGCTGCTTGTTGGCTTTTCCTAGGATGCTCCTGCTCCAGGCATTTACACGAACAGCCCCTTCTTGTCCCATGGACACCAATTACATTTTTAATTTACTTTTGTGTTTGAGAGGACTTTTCTGAACCCTGACATGAAGTGTCGCTCTCCGTACATTTACTCACTACGCATCATCTTTTCTTAGCAGCCCTTTCAGCACCTGGTGTTTTCTTATTTGCTTCCTTATGGTCTGTTTCTTATCTCCCCAGCTCACCCCAATGTAAAGGACAGGAGAGACTGTGTCCCCATGCTGCCATCTCCCCGGTCCTGCATAGGCACTGAGTGGGTGATGAATCCTTGCATAGTCTCACTGAACTCGGTTCTGCACCAAACACAGAGCTCAGAAAATACTCCTTATCTTTAGGAAGCCTGAAGTCTGAAGGCAGCAGTGTTGTAAAAATGACCTACTCGGTTTTAGGAAACCAGTTTACCCTGGACGTGTGTGTATGTGTGCGTGTGTCACCAGGGCCTTATGGAAGGGAGCCCTTTAGAAATTAACTATTTAAGACTATGTTTTATATAGTGCTAGAAATACATTTTAATCAATAGGAATATGTTCACTGTTAAGGGGACAATTTACTTTGATTTTGCAATGTCTTTTGAAGACGTTACTATAAGTAAACCAGGCACTCTGGAGAGACACCCAGATGAAGAGGGAGAATGCTTTTAGTGAGATAAAGAGACTTTTATAGCGCTAACAGGAACTGGGCTCGGACAGTGCCCGACAGGACGCCCCTGTGCCCGCCAGTTACGGGACACCAGAGTGAGGTCCCAGCCCGCCCTGGCACTGCGGTGAACGTTCTTTGCTTTTTCATAATAAACCATTATGGGCTTATCACACTTTAATCGATTTAACCTCATTTAAGATAAAATTAACATTTTCCCCTTGAAAGAGGAATTGGTAATTTGATCCTAACTTCAGAAGCAAATCCAGAAAATGAATGAGCCTTTCTAAGGCAAGTCGCGTGGTATGTTCTAAAAAAATGAATATAACGTGAATGAGACTCAAAAGCCCCCCACCCCACCCTTGCAGTAGTGGGCTACCCTGACTCATCCTGCCTCCAGGGGCTGAGACAGAAGGAGATTCTGTGGCTCTGCCTGCCACCTGCGGGCTGTCCCCTACCATGTGCTCCTTTAGCTCTGGCATTGGGTGATGCTTCTGTGCAGAGTGGTGCCAGGGAGTGGCAGGGTTGGGTGTATCTCCCCTTTGCACCCTAAATTGTTTACCTGGCATCCACATACATATTCTTACATATAGGGTCACAGAATGTCCTCTGAAATACAGAGACCCTGTGCTGAATGAATGGGGGCACATCTCAGCGCCCACAAGTGGAGGATGCAGAATTGAACACACACGAAAAGAAACCCTTCCTGACAGCAGGGAGGGTGCGTTACCCTGGGATGTCATCCATGGTTGAGTGAACGTCAGTTTACCAGACCATGAATGATCCACCATTGGAATAGGAACGCTCTAGAATGATTGTCGCTTCCCTAGGAGGGAGAACGAAGGTATCACACCTGGCTTACTGGAGACCATACAACAACCTGGGGCTCTGGGCATCCCTGGGGTATGATTTTCTGACCCCAGCCCACGGTATCACTTCTTGAAGTTCATTTCAAGACCATCGCCACAAAGGCGTTATACAAGGAATGACTCGAATCGTTGCTGAAGCATCGGATATTTAGTGGGGGCCTGCCATGTCTTCATAACACAAGGGGAAACATGGTCACAACTTGGCCTTTCTGGGACACAATTTCCCAATCTGGGGTCCTGGGAACCTGAAACACAGCTCCAGCCACTGTCAGTTTAGTTTTCCTCTTCTCTTTAGCCCCCCAAAGCTTGTCTGAAGAAGGCTGGAGAGATGCTTTTTGATCCTGCCCCTACCAGACTCTGATATTTCTCATCACCATTGTGTCAGGCGGTGGCCACATCAGGGGGACAGGGAAAGCAGGTCCGTGAGAAGGCCTCTTGTTGTAGCGGCCCATGCCTTGTCACTGCAGGCCAGGATGCTGGGCACCATTTCCCCCTAGACTGTGTCTATTCTTTGGTGAACCAAACTCAAAATGCATGACTGGAAAAAAAAATCACTCGAAAGCAATAGTATCAAAGACATGAATATTATGCTTTTTTCTAAGTATTGCTTTTTAATAAGTCACTCTAACGGAATGAGTTTCTAAGTCAGTGTTTAAGCCACGGCCCAGTTCTTTAGTTAGCCTTTCTCTTTACTCCCTAGAACTCAGAGCCAGCTTTTACGATGTGCTGATGGCAACCCAGCACTGAGAAGAGGAGTGTCCATAGGAGACCTAGGGACTTGCTGCAAGGGAGATGGACTCTGTTACCCAGGTGGGTCTGGAGAGGATGATAATTCAGTGGTAGGACAGCAGGCATGAAGGTGTGGATCAAATTGTACCAGCCAAGCTGGCTTTTGATCTTTGGTGAAGAATCTGTCCAATGATGGCTGATGCTGTGGTTCAGTCTGGGCGTGGAGAGGAAGGATGATGCCCCGGAAAGAGACGGGCAGACGCAAGGTGGGGGCTCATGGCCCTAGTCAATGGGTTGGGTTGAGGATGTGCTTCTGGTCCTGGAACAGGAATTCTCAGCAGGGCAAGCAAATAGTAATAAAGCTTCTTCCTCCTAAGGTCTAAGTGCTTACTCAGATACCTAATCCCAAGACGAAGCCAGCACAGTAGGTAGTTTCACTATAACTTCAGATCTACTCAAGGGCCAGAATCTTGCTCACTAAACTTGAGGCCCAGGTAAGTTTTGACTGAGGAGGAGACTTGGAGATGAGATCAGAGACCAAATATATGGGTCTGGGTCACAGAGCTCAGGGCCTAAGACAGTAAGTAGGTAGGTCAAGGTCAAATCCACCGGACACAGACTATCGCTTCCTGCAATTCAGGAATGCGTAGGCTGCAGCCTGCATCCAGACCCCATTATAGGATCTAGCTGTGGGATCTGGGCCTTGTATTCATAATAAGACTCAGTTTCGAGCTGTACTTTGTCCACATTTTAGTGCATATCTACTTTGTTCCACATATCAAATCAGTTCTTTGATTCCCTTAATTCTCATCACAACCTCAGGAAGATAGCTTATGGTTTCAACCTTAGAGATCAGAATACAGAGAGTATAATAATTTATACAAAATAAATTATTAGATTACTTATCATTGTTGGAGTAATTATTATTATAATACAAACACAAACCTTTATGTTTCCATAGGAGAAGGTGCATTAGTTTCCTATTGACACCGTAACAAATGACCACAAACTTGGTGGCTTAAGACAACATTTATTCTCTTGTAGTTCTAGACATCAGAAGTCGAAAATCAAGGTGTTAGCAGGGCTGGTTCCTTCTGGAGACTTCAGGGGAGAATTCATTGCCTGGACTTCTTCCACTTTTCTAGAGGCTTCCTGCATTCCTCAGCTTGTGGTCCTTCTTACACCACTCCAACCTCTTGCTTCTGTCATCATCTCAGTTCCATCTATTGACTGTAACTCTCTGTCATCATCTCAGTTCCATCTACTGACTGTAACCCTCTGTCTTCCTCTCCTAAGGAGCTTGTGATTAGATCCAGCCTGCCTTGATAATCTCCCCATCTCAAGACCCTTAAGTTAATCATCTCTGCAAAGTCATTCTTGCCATGTAAGGTAACATATGCCTGGGTTCTAGGAATGAGGACACAGGGGGGAATGAAGGGAGGTGCTTTGAGTTTGGGAGGTGAAGGTGGCCAGACAGAATGGAGAATTCTAACTAATTCTATCCTGAAGCTGCTGTGGAGCAAGGACAGGAGTGCCCCGGCATGCAGGGACTTCAGTGGAGGGTGGCTACAGGAGACTGGTCCTCCATGGGGAGGGACCATGAGAAAAGGGATCTCTGTGCTACTCAGAGCAGCAGGGACCAAGACAGATGGCAGGACCCGCTCTCGACAGCAGCATCTTCTAGCTGAAGAAATAGCTGCAAAGGTGATGACCATCCTGCAGACATGCCTGCCCACTCCTGGCTTTCTGGAAACCTCTAAGCCAGGATTCTTGTGCAACCCCATGGAGTAGGGGAAGGGGTCCCTCCAACGACTGATATTGGACATCTGGTTGGGGTGACCAGTGAGGGCTAAGACAAGACTCCATATCATTTCAAGAAGTTTTAAAAGAATGTGACAATGTGCCTTAGTATTGTGGCTTAAAAGTCATGCCTCTTGGAGTGACAAACTTTTTGCTGTGGCCACGGAGGCTGGAAGAGCAGGTAAGGGCAGAGAACAAAGAGTTCCTGACAATATCCTCTAAGCATCTTTATACCAGGATCAGCAAAGAAAAAGCATCTTGCTTCCACAGGCTTTTTACTTGGGTCTAAACCTAAACCAAACAACCTGCTAGTTCATCGGGCTCCTTCGACGGCAGATATTATCTGAATAAAAACAAGCATATTAATAAGTATATCCAGCGGGGATTATAAAAAGGTGGTAGGGTATTCCCAAGAGGAAAATTAATTTCTTTTTATAATCTGCGGTAGTTTATTTCACATATTCATGACCCGCCCAGTATGTTTTTTCTTTATGATGAGCCATAAAAATGACAAAATACATTAGCCAAGTTCTTCGTTTCTGCTAAAATGACCATATTCAAAAATAATAACAGAGACTTGTATCAGCGATGCAAAAGATGCATGAAGTAATTGGGGCTTAATTTGTACACAAACTGTCAAGGCAGTTTTCCTCACGGCCTGCATCTTCTGAATTCATTAGTCTCTAATTACGGCCAGTGGGGACCAGCAGTTAGAAGGTTAAAGAGGTTCTGACAGGCCTAATCATTGCTCAGGAAGCTGAAAATGTATGCAAAGTCTCGGCAGATGGGGTGAGAGCAGCTTCTGCCAAGTGATAACTGTTATTCCTTTGCACCTCCAAAGCTGTCACCCTAATAGGCACATTTTAAATTTATTAATGCTCTAGTTACAATGCATACACAGTCTCTAATGGTATGTCATTCTGAGTATATAAACTGAGCAATTAACACATATTACCTGGTAATGGTAAAATTATTTGTTGCCTGTTTGACTTTTTTTTTGGGGGGGAGGGGGTGCGGTAGGGGGTGTCTCCTATTCTGGTAAGAAGTGGTCCCGGGAAAAGCTTGCCTTTGTTAAAATAAAACCAGAGCTACATCGGAGATGGAGTTCTCTCTTTGCTCGGGCAGAACAAACCAATCTGAACGCCTCCATCCATGCTTTACCCAATCACCGGTTTCTGACTGCTCGCAGAAGGATCTGGTGGTTAATCACAGTCAGGGGGACATGCTTGGTTGGACTTTTTGGGAAGAGGCAGAGAACTCCAATCTTTGAAGATGTGACCCTTTAAAGCGAGAAGAAACCCGGGGTTGTATTTTTCATCTGTGACTACACTGACTCATAAAAGCAGAGCTATATATGTATTCTCCAATTTCTGATTCCACAGTCATCAATATCTTACCCTTCTTTGGTGGCCTGCCTGACTCTAACCCTGATTGCTTTAAAGCTATTAATAACTAATCACCAGCAAGAGGAGCTTTTTTTTTTTTTTTTTAAATAAACGAGGTCTCTTGTCTTTTCCCGTGACTGTAGCCCTGACATGGTGAGGGCCTTTAATTAAATGCAGCACTTATTGCAACAATTGTTTGCATGTAGGAGGCTGCAGAAAGGGAGACAGCTGGAATGGATAGTCCCTAAATTGTAGGCTTCGTCAGGACTACAAGATTCATAAGCGGTCCTAATAGCATGATAAGGTGTTAATCTCAGCAACAGAGCAATTATCTGTCCAGTGAGTGACCGCCACTCTTCGCACCCACCAGCCCGTGGTGCCTAATTGATTTACACTATATAGAAGTAATAAAACAACAACGAAAATGTCTCAGGGACTTTATGGTAATTAAAAACCGTGATTACATTTCCCTACTAGGTGATCTGTTTGAAATTTTTTATACCATATAGGACAGATATCAAACTGTTAGGTAAGAAGTTTTCTTTGCCAGGGACCGAATAACCCATCCATTGTGGTTCCGTCAGTGGCTGGAAGAATAGCTCTGGCTGATTAACCCCGTGAGCTGTGTGACCCCGGGCAAGTGTCCTCATCTCTCTGAGCTTCAGTTTCATTATCCCCGAGACGGGGGAGTGGCCGAGGCGACCTCTGACCTCTCGGATCTCTTTCAGTTCTGAAAGTTCACAATCGTATGAACTAAAATGCTGCGCATCCGGGAGAGGATTATACAATGGAGCCAGCGCCCTGCTAGTTAGAAGCAGGTCAGCTCTTTCATCCTCCACTTCTCATCTTCAACTTGGAAGTTTAATCTGGTTTCTGATCATTCTGTTTATTTATAACTTTTTTTTTTATATATATGTGCACAGCGGACTTTTGCGGCCCCCTGGCTGTATTCTTGCTATATGAGATATCCATTCATTTCCAGGGATTTAAAAAAAATAAAAAATAAAACAAAACTGTTTCTGGCATCATTTTAATGGGAAATCCAGTGAAGAGAGTCTAGACATGCCCTGCGGTGGTGTCAGCTTACTTGGTGTGAGTGGCCACTGCAGGGAGAAGGGACATCCTTTGGGCCCCGTGAACCCTGCGTGTCGGGGTCTGCTCACGTGCACGCCTGTGTGGACCCCACTCGACGTCACTCGAGTCCACCGTCTGGCCTCCTCGGGCTTTTACTTCCCTGTCTATTGAGTGAACATGCCGGCCGGGATGCTCTCCAAGTCTGTTTCATCCACTGTGTTTGCTGACTCTGATCCATTTTGGAAAAAAATGGAAATTCCTCAAAATTAGAGCCTTACAAGCCAACTGGGATTTAGAAGAACCAGCAGGTGGAAAGAGAAAGAGGAGACTTAGAAGCATTTATAAGGACAAACGTTTGCCCAGGGAACGCTCAGCGTTTTGTGGAGGGCAGGTCACGGTGGGGGGACACAGCTTATATTCCAGTATGAGCAAAACTATGGATTAAGATCAGTAGCCAAAGTTAAAACATTGACCTTGGGCTCTCCCGTCCACGCGGAAGTCTCGGGCTGCATGTCCTCCTCTAGGTGCACCGTCTGCCTGGCGTCGGCTCTCCTGGCGGGGGTGCTGCAGCTGGCTCTGGAGTGGGGGGGGACAGTGGGGAGCAGTTGCCCCCCTCCCCTGGGAACGTTCCCAATGTGTTAAGGCCATTCAATTTATACCTGACCATTCCGATTCCCGAGAATGGGCCACCTGCATCAGAAATCCTGGAAGACTTGTTCCAAAGTGAGCTAGGAGCCTGCATTTAAAAAACAAAAACTCAGGTGACCCTTACACCCCGCTGAAGTTGGGGAGGCCCCAGTTCTGTAAAGCAGAGGGCCCGCT